TGTGTGTGTGTGTGTGTGTGTGTGTGTGTAGACAGGGCCTGAAGGACCGGGGAAAATGCCCAAAACAAGGGCGGCAATTCCGGGACGCACCGCGAGCCATGGTCGACCGAGCGTCGGCCATCTGCCCGGAGAGGACCTCCAGCTCAACGGACTCGAGCCTGAGATCACAGACAGCGAAACCAAAGGGAGACAGAGAGAGAGAGAGAAGCAACGCGAGGAGTAGGCAGTGTTAATATGCACACCGGCGCGCGCAGGGTGGCAAGCGGCAGCCAATCCCCCCACCCCAGCTGGCCACAGTGGCCCGACATACCAAATAAGCTCGTCCTTCGGGACGGTGGTCCGCGCGCGCTGGAGGATGGCCCGCGCGGTGGCAATCCCCCGGGGGGTGGCCTCGGTCGGCTGGCTGCCGGCCTGCACCGCGGCGAACTCCAACTCCAGCTTGGCCAGCAGACGCCACAGGGGCGAGCTCGTGGGGCAAGCCTTGATCTGAGGGAGCACATGTGTATGTCAGTGTGCGTGTGCAGCCCCATGTGGGCGCGCAGCCAAAAGGGAGGCAAAGGCCAGAGAAGCGAGGGGCGAGCAAAAGGCAACACACGAGGCCCGACGCAAAGGACCAACACCCCCGCGATGGCCATGGCAACCATGCCTCTCCGCCGCCCGGGCGCCCTCGCTCCGCAGGTACTCCGCCATGTGACGTACCCCCTGCTTGAAGAAGTCACGCGCAGCCTCATACTTCTGGGCCGTCTGCGCCGCCTTGCCGGCAATCATGTACAGCTTCGGGCTCTTGGGGAAGCGTTGAATGGCCTCAACGGCCAGGGCACGGACCGAGTCCCATGCCCGCAAGGCGGCATCCTGCCGGGTGAATGTCTCGGCCGCCGTGCCGCCGTGCAGCCGCTCGAAGGCCAGGGACTTGACCCAGATCTAGTGCACCGGCATCCGGCCCCAGTGGCCAAAGGGAGGTGAGTGACGCGCGCGGGCCCCCGAGACGGGACTCATGTTGAGAGGCGAAGTGGGGCCGGAGGAGAAAAGGAAGAAAGAAAGCAAGAAAGAGGCCATGGCAAGGGCAGGAGAAGACGCACACGCTCGGTCGCCGCCTTGATTCGAGCACTGTTGAGCAGGGCTCGCGCGCGCGCAAACTCCTTGGCCTCGGCCTCCACCTGGACGGCCGACAGCCAAATGGACTCGGCATTGGCATTGGCCTCGAAGGCGGCCGCCAGGACCGACCGCGCCCCGGCGAAGTCCCCCCGGCTGAGCCGGTGCTTGGCCGACATGAGCCAAAGCTTCTCCGCGTGTGGGCACTGCTTGACCGCTCGGTCGAGCAGGGCCTCGTACGCCTCGCTGCGGTGTGGTCAAGAGCGGGAGACCAGTCGGGGGATGTCAGCAGCAGCCCCACCTGGCCATGGGGGCAAAGGCAAAGGAGTGAGGTTTCGGGCGATGCCCCCCCCCCCTCCCGACTTTCAGACGGGATACGCACAGGGTGCCATGCTTCTTTTCGAAGTCCGCGGCAATGGTCCAAAGGTCGGCTCGATCCGGCAGCTGGGTCAGAGCGAAGGTGTAAACCGCGCGCGCGGTCTCGATTGATCCGCGAGAAATGAGCTACAAGCGTGGGCGTCGGGTGCGAAGGAAGGATCCACGGCCAAGTATGCATGTCAGACAATGTTCGGCACCCGGGTCAGAGATATGTGTTCCAAGCGCCCGAGAGCCGGAGCCAGGAGGAGGCAATCGCGGCACGCACATCCTCGGCGTCTTGGATCCAGGTCTTCAGGCGGTCCGAGGACTCGACGCCCAGGCCGATGGTATTACGACTACATGCATCCCCCCGCCCCGCCCCCACCCAGGACGCAGGTTAGACAACAGCCAAGGCCAAGGACAGAATGAGGAGAGGGGCGAAGAAGGCAGGGCACGTCGAAGGCCCACATGCGACCCGCCCGGGACGTGCACACGCGACGCACATAATGGCCTGGCAACTGAGAGGATGGCCGGAGGCCTCGCACAGCTCGGCCTGCTCGGTCCAATCACGGCGAATGAGCTGCAAGTTGGCCGATGCGCTGTGCTGCGCCACAGCTGTGTGGCGACAGGGCGATCGGGGAAGGGTGCTCGAGTTAGTCGGAGGGCAGTGCCCCGGGCAGATGTATGCGCGCGCGCGCGCGCGCGCGTGTATGTGTGTGTGTATGTGACAGAGCCACCGCACTTGGGCCAGTGGGCCAGGCGCATGGCAGCAGGGTAACAAGGTGGCCAAGGCGGAGCGCGCACCATTTTTGAAGAGAATATCCATACGCTGAAGGGCCGTCTGCGCCTGGCTCGAGGTGGGGTCCTCGCAACTGTTGTAGATGGACTCCTGAAGCTGGCAGCCGGCCACAAACACCTCGATCTTGCCGGGACATGCGCGTCGGGCGGCGTTGAGAATCTGGCGACCATCCACGCAGGCGAAGAAAGGCAGGGAGGAGGGCGGGGGGGGGGATCGTTAGTGGAAGAAAAAACGAGCAAGCATTGGGCCAGCTCGCTGGTGCAACAGCATCCGCGAAGACGTCACTGGGCGAAATCAACATCGAGGCGGCAAGCCGGCACAAGAGGGAACATCCCCGCGCGTACCTTGGCCGCGCGATCGAAGGTCTCCAGCCTAGCATAAGCCAGCCAAAGCTCCACCGAATCCGGCACACACTCGACCGCATGCGCCAGCAGGGCCTTGGCATCCTCCGGGTTTTCCTCCAGCTCGACCGCCTCGCGCCACAGACGCAGAGATTGGGGGATGTGGTCCAGCGCCCGGCGCAAGACGCGTCGGCGCTGCTCGACGCTCCCCTCCAGTTGGCAGGCCTCCATCCAGAGGGTCACCGAGGTGGGGATCCGCCGCAGGGCATTGGCCAGGATGATCTTGGCGTTCTCGGGCGACTGCCGATCGGGTTGGGAGGAGGGCGGCAGGTCAGACAAGGTGCCGAACGGCGACATACAAGCCACCGGCAAAAGGCACGCATGGGAGAGAGGGGGAGGGAGGGAGAAAGGGAGAAGCCCGACGTACGTTCATGCGCGCGGCCTCCAGCCAGACGTCCGGGTCGGAGGCACACGCCTCGCAGCCACGCGCAATCACCCGACGCGCCTCGGCCACCTTGCCGTCGGCAAATTCCAGGCGCGCGTAGGAAATCCACCCGGCCGCGTAGCCAGGGTTGGACTTGACCAGGGCCTTGAACATTTCGCGATTACCGCTCAGGCTCCTGCGGAGCGCCCAGGGGGGGGGGGGGGGGGGGGGGGGGGGGGGGGGGGGGGGGGGAAGAGAAGGGGGGGGGGGGGGGGGGGGGAGAAACACGCGAGAGAGGGGGGGGCGGGGGGGAGGAGGGGGGGGAGAGGGGGGAAAGGGTTCGCCAGGGGGCGGGCGGGGAGACGTGGGAAGGGGGGCGGGGGGGGGGGGGAAGGGGGGGGGGGGGGGGAGGAGGGGAAGAGGCCACGGGAGGGGGGGGGGGGGGGAAGAGAAGGACACATATGCGCATGCAAACATGCGCGCTTAGGTGAAGAATTGCTCGACACGGTCGCCGACCGACAGGAGAATTTCCGCCACGCCGGAGCCCTGGCCCGGGGGAGCCGGGGCCTCCTCCTCAGCCGGGGGCGCCCCCTCGGCCGCCCCCTCGCGCTGCCGAATGAGGGCCGACGCCGTGACCGACAGGCCGAGGGCCACAGACAGCTCGGCCTCCGACCGAGCCGCGGCCCAAATCCACCCATGCCGGGGGGCGGC